AAAAGGATCATATAAGACTTATTTAAAAGGATCGTATAAGACTTATTTAATAAGATTGTATGAAACTTATTTAAAAAATAATGTGAATCTTGTTCTAGTGTTGGAGCAAGTAACGATTTTTTTTTTATTATCGTTTTGATCAGCATACTTATATATATTATTACTGACCAATAAGCGTACAGTATAGTATCGGGTATTCGATTCGGACCCCTATGTGGATCCGAATTCGACGGATCTTATAAATCACAGATCCGGATCCGATCCGATAGGTCGGATCCGATTCGGATTCGGATCTTCGGATCGGATCTGCGGAACACTAGTGCGAGTAAACAAATAACGTCCTTACATGATTTCATGTGATGTGATGATCACTGGGGTACCTAAGTGTCCCATTTAAATAATTATAAAACAAGATGCATGCAGGGCAGGTGCATGCATAGTACTCTTAGAAAGTATTTCTAAACTTCTCTAAACTATAAAAATTGAGATATCTTACCTAATTATTATTTTGATTGACATCTTAAGACTATTCGATTATTTTTCTTCAAAAATGAATGCAACTAATAACTGTGATCTTAATGCCTATAGTGATGGGCTGTTTAGCTCTGGCGACGATCATCATTTTTTTTCATTTATTTCTTTATTTGTAGGTGCTCTTTTATCTTCCTTACAAAATCGACCAAACCCCTCTAAACCTTCAATTTTAAACATTTATTTAAATCATTCATTAGATTTTATACATGGAGTTTATGCAATTATTATTATTTCTTTTATGATTCGTCAAAATTTTGCCTGTTCTAATAGTATTTATTGCACTTTTCTCTTCGATCAACTAATTTTCGAAATCATAATCCTTACAATATGTGTTATCTCAATATTCTTCTCCATCCTTAATATCATACGCAACCGAAATTTAAATTATATTTCTTACAACAACCTGTTATATTTCATCTTTTTTTTAAATCATATCACGCTCCCAAGTCTTTGTCTGGTATTCATGCATTACGTAAATTTCGGTCGAAAGAAAATAGCGTTAGAATACCAAATTCTTGTATGGACCTTTACGATCCTATTTATAACTTCGGTGATGGGTTTATGCTTTTTTCAACTAATGCGGCACTGTATGGACAATAATAACCAAGAAATGGAGAGAGAGGAAACAATAATACAAGATGATGATGAAAAAAACACGCAGCTGAATACAAACTGTGCCAAATTTGTCTCGGCACAGCAATGTTGTTTTCGGATAATATTTTTAATATCAACAGCTAGTTTCGTTAGGCTTGGCTTCCATCTAGCCAGTCCAAGAGTTACAAGCACTGTAGAAAATCTTTTCATAATTTTTTTGACTGGTTTAATTGGTGGTATACTTTTGAAACGAATCTTTATAACAAACACCCGAACTGATAGAACGTCCTCTATTGACTATATTTTATCCTCTCAAGAAGTAAAGAAAAGAATCTTTGAGATGTATGCTTTTGAAGCACATAATTATAGTCACGAATTCATTTTAAAGGATATTAATAACCATCTTCCTTTAAATTCAAGACAAATCTGAAATTGGTATACATCAAATTATTATATGTTTTTTTGAATTTGCAAAGATTTAATATTTAAATAAATTAATCTGCACCTTCGTGTCCGATGAATTTTAAATGTTAAAACAGACTCTTTTTAAACACATTTCAAGCTAGAAATTAACTAAAAATCAGCTAGCTATAATAACAATGTAAATAACAATCAGATAATCATTAGTTGGAAAATTTAGATGATAAATTTGCAAATGATAAGTATAAAATATAATAAGAAACGGAAATAATCGGATGTATAGTAAATTAATCAACATAAAATATTAACATGTTGAAATTTCTCAAGGATAAAAAGAATTAAAGCTAAATAATTTAATGATAATCAATGGGTCAAAATGTGGGTACTTTTAATCGATCAAACGTTCTAATCATTAAAATAAATAAGATATAGTTCATTGGGTCAAAGAAAAAATTTTAAATAGTAAAAATGATCTGCATTTATCATTTTAGCCAAAAACTTTTGTCATGAGCTGGCTTATCAAAACTTACTGCTATTAAAGTAAATAAAGTTATTTATTATCAAGCATTTTTCATGCTTTTTATTATGGTCTACGTTATCAACACTCTATTATTACGTTTTCTTTATATATTTGTAAAAATTTCGGTAACATTTAATAAACCTTTTAGAAATTTTTTCATCATAATCTATCATAGCAATTGATAATCGTTAGCACATCATAGTAATGAGGCATATTTATTCCCAATAAATGATCTGTAAATCCCGTTTTGTTAAAGTATATGTTTAGATATCACATATTGATCTATCAAAAAAAGATCGTCTAAAGCCTTGAGGGTCTACTACTTTCTCCCCAAGTTACTGCAGTACTTTTGGTCGTGCGTAGATTGCATTTCAGATTGGATAAAATCGATGACCTTTAATAATGTGACACATCTACAGCAAATCAGAGAACAAGATCAGGTGTAACATAAAAATTTAAAAAAAAACAATCGCTTATTTTTAAAAGCCTCATTTATCTCAAAATTTCGCTGCATTTTGAGTATTAACAAAAAAGAATTCCTCGCAAGATTTTGGTATAATATCGTCCATTAATTCTGACACCAACTTTTTAAAATAAAGTGACATGTAATTTGGTGCGAATAATTCCAGCCAATAGGATTTGTGGCGGAAATTAGTGTGGCAGCTGAAGCTGAGATCGGCTGAACTGAGATCTTGAAATATTTTAATATTAAATTTTAAAATTTTTTTTCAGCTTTGTTTTTTAGAGTTAGATTAGGGTTTAGAGATAGTTTTATTAATAAAAGAGTATAAATGAATTTTAGTAGATATTATATACTTAAATAGAGACCCTCAATCTCAACTTCAGTCGCCACATTTAGTAAATCCAAAGCCGGGTAGTACGTATTAGATAGTATAGATTTTATATGTGTCACGTGATGTTTAATTTACAAATTGTTTAGTAATCAGATCACGTTGCTACAAGGCTTTAACACATCTCCAAAAAAAGCTAATTTTATCGCCGGGTACGCCGATTTAATTTGCTGATTTTGAATTTTTAAAATAGAAAATAAAATTTTTATCTCCACTTATTTCTGAAATAAGTTAATTCTGAAACCCCCCAATACCAGCATTTGAGCATATCTCAATAATATTGTCGTTCGTATTATCGATTTCTATCAAAATGATAAATTATGTCATAGTACAGTAAAACCCCGCAATAGTCACATTCATATTTGTACAATCCCGCTATAGTCGCCTTGATTCTTTTATCTATCTATATACACTGTACGTATATAAATTCTTGCTTGCTTTAGCGTTAGTCACAATCGCAATAGGCACATAGAATGTCTGATTTTAGCATGTGACTATTGCGGGTTTTACTGTATCTCGTT